CCACAGACCTGCCCCCCAGGGAAACAGACCTGCCTGGTCTCCGGCACGAAGGTGTGTGGGGCGGCAGCGAGGGGAGCTGGGGAGGGGGACAGCCCCGAGCCACGCGGGGCTGGGGGGATGCAGAGAGAAGCAGGGAGAAGAGCTCCTGCTGGAACAGCCCCGGGGACATTTCCAGGCGAACAAACCCCGGCCCAGGTGGGGGGAAGGAGGGAACAGGAGGCACCACGGAGAGGGGCAGACGGATTTAATACGGCCTTTACATTCCGCTCGGGATCAGGTCACATCCCTGCAGCCGGAGCAGAGCGATGGGATGTTTATTCAGAGGAAGGAGAAGCTGCAGCCAAGGCCCAGGGGGCTGGTGCCAGCACGGGGGCTGCTCGTGTCCCAGCAGCCAGGGTCGGTGGGAGGGCACAGGTCCCCAAAGACACTTGGCAAAACTTCCCAGCCACACGCAGGGGGGCCGGGGCACGTGGCAGGAGCTGGGGCAGCCTCTGCTGCTGCTGGGAAAGGGGAGGGCACAAGAGAAGAATAAATACAGCTTGGGAAGGCCCCCGGCCCCACACGGCTGCCACGTGGGCTGGGAAAGGCAGTTCCAGGAGGAAATGTGTCAGCCAACATCAGACTACTCCGTGGATGTGTCCAGAAGTCAAGGCTGGCTCGTCCGCTTCCTGATCTCCTCCACCAGGCTCTCCCTGGGCACGTTGACCTAGATGGGGGGAGCACAAAGTTGCTTCAATGCAACACGAGCAGCCTGAGGTACAGTGACCTCCTCTGGTCCCAGAGGGATGGCCCCACCACATCCTCAGGAGATGACAGACTGGTGCTGGCACCAGGCCCTGCCTGGGGATGGAGCGGGATGCAGCGCAGGCACAGGTCAGAGCAAGCACCTCCCTGCAGCCCTGCCAAGACCTTTCCTGCCCAACAGCTCCTCTCACTCCTTCCTACTGGTTCCAAAGCCAAGACCAGTGCACCGATCAGCACTGGTCCCACTTATTCCAAGAGGGCACCTCCAGGACTCCCAGCAATGGTCCCATGGCCTGGACAGGAAGCACAAGCAGCCACACAACCCACTGAATGACCCTTCTATGGTCCAGGCCCCTGAACTAAGGAATAGCTGGGAGTTCAAGGAGGCCACATGATGGGAAAACTCTACAAAGCTGCAGACAATGCACAGGGTGAGGAATTGGAATGTGAGGTGTTGCAGAGGTCCCTGAGAGACCACTGCTTGAAAAGAGCTAATGATCAATGTAGAAAACCCTGACAACCTGTTAGAAGGGGCTTGGTGGCCAACTGACAATGGGGCATGTGCTCCACAGCAGGTCAAGGGGACTGAGGAAACTCACCTCACCCCGTCTGCAAAGGTCCACCACTACCCAGCCCTAACCTCTGCCTGCTGCATGTGGAGAGCCTTCCCCCACCACACCTTCTGCAGCTCTGTTACACCTTGGAGGCTTTTCACATCAGGTGGTAGGACCTTACTTCTCTGACCTCCCCCTTGGCACTACACTCACGAGGTGGGGCAGCAAAGCTACCTCGCAGTGTGCAACCACTGCTGCAGGGGAGGGTCTGGATGGGTCTGGAGAGCTGGGACAAAGGGTCAAGGAGTGGCCCCCTCACACTGGGCTGCCACAGGCCTCACCTCTTCCCTGGTTGCCACAACCCGCAGCTTGACCACTCCATCCTTGAGCTCCTGCTCGCCCACAATGGCCACGAGTGGGATGCCTGTGTCCTCACAGTACTGCAGCTGGTTCAGCAGCTTGGGCTTCTTCTTGTACAGCACTTCTGCCTGCAAGAGAACCAGAGCACCACAGCACCATCACAGCTGGTCTGTTTCACCCACAGCTCCTCAACCAGGCACTGCTGGGCCAGCCTGCTCACTGCTGGCTGCTGAGGATGGGGGAGATGGGCTCATGGAGAAGGCTGGGTTTGGGTTGGAAGGGACCTTAAAAATCACCCGGTTTCAACCCCCTTGCAGGGACACCTCCCACCAGCCCAGGTTGTTCCAAGCCCCATCCAACCTGCCCTTCAACACTTCCAAGGATGGGGCAGCCACAGCTTCCCTGGGCAACCTGGGACAGGTTATCATACATTCCCGTTCTTACCACGTTACTTTACAAAAAACAAAGCCAAACCTGCAAACTGTAGGTTCCTCAAATTTCTTCCCCGCTACTGCACAATTCCTTACGTGGCAGGTTCACAGGAGAGCTAACATCATCACTGCCCACGGGTGGGGTCCCACAGCCCAGCTGGCTGCACTGGTAGCCAAGGGGCAGGAGGAAAGAACCACAGCCAGGACCACATCTCCTAAACCTGGGCCACTCCATCCCCAGGTGCTGCTGCTGACACACTGCTCACCCTGGAGAGCACTGGGCCGTGAGCTCTACTCCAAGTCAGACCAGGGCCAGTAGCCCCACAGAGCACCCAGGCCTTCTCCTGTGCTCGCAGGAGGCTGCCCGCAGCAAACAGCAGAGGACAGCCCGGGCTCCTCCCTGGCCCCACTTGCTCTTCCCTGCAAGGCTCCATGGTTTATTCTGCTTTTTTTGGTGGAAGCAGCATGGTATCCCACTGCTACACCTGCTTTGGGAATCTATCCTGAGCTAGCAGACACAGAGCAGCCCCCACACTTTTACTGAGCTAGACAAGATGTGCTGCCCAGCCCCTGGAGAAGACCTGATTCAGGACACTGAGAAGAAGCAGGCTCCGTTCAGGAAGGCAGTCTGCTGCCCACCTTCTCCTTCCTCCCAAAGCAAACCCAGATCTGGTCCATTCCTGGCACAGAGAGCAGACCAGGCAGCTCTGCCATCACCTGGTCATACCTTGATTCCAGCATCCCACAGCTCGGCGATGAGCTTCAGCCGCTCCTCAAGGAGCTTCTTTTGGGCAGAGGCCACCAGCACCTGTGTCTCTGTTGTCCTGATCTTTTCCTCAGAGGCCTAGAGAGGGGACAAGACTCAAAAGATGCCATGGGCTTACAGAGCCATCCAAAACCCTGTAAGTCAAGCCCATCAGTTTAGTGGTGAAGAGGATCAAGCCCAGTGGGGTGAACAGCACAAACTCAGGGGAGTCAGGGAGGCCCCACAGACCCCACCCTGGAGCAGAACCTCATCTTCCCTGGTTATTCCACCATGAGGACTTAACCCAGTGACCCTCCTGCACTGCAGGCGGGCACAGACTGGAGGATATGCTGAGAATGAATAGTTTCCCTGCCAGCTTCTGCCTAGAGCCTCCCCCTCCACACCCAAGGGCCTCCCAGAGATCCACTCCAAGCAGCACAGGAGCAGCAAGCCTGGCAGAAGCTGGACAGAGGCAGCTGCCTGCTCTGCAGCTGGGCTGGTCACTGTGGGTAAAGTTAAGAGCAGGGAGCTGAGATGCTCCATTGCTGCCAGGAGCCACCTGCTCCCATGGCAGATGCTGGATAAAAATGGCATTTTCCTGCTGCTGATTTTGCTGGAGGGAGAGGCCTTGAAAAGGTCACCTGTAACAGAACAGACCTGGTCAGGACTTAAGGTGGTGGGGGAAGAAATCAGTTCCCACTTAGAAATGCTGCTTGTATCTGGCTTCCAGGAGAGAACTCCCCACAATCGACCTCTGGGGAGGGGAATGTGCAGCAGTGGTTTGGGAGCTTGCAAAGACCTACCCAACACCCATTGACTGGGAGGGAGGACAGCACCTCAGTACAGCAGCTCTGTGAAGGGGCAACAGGAGGAAAGGAACTCCCCCAGAGGCATTTTGCTCCCTGCCCTCACCCCTGTCTGCTCTCTGCAGTGCTTGGGCAGGACAAGCAGACGTGTGGGGTTGTCACCTCCCTGCCAGCCCTGCAGGCAGTGCCCCATGCCCAGCTGTCATGGGTTCCCAGCACAGAGGGCAACACTGAGGCACCACATCCCTGGTGCTGCAAAGGATTAAAGTGCCCCCTCCAGCTGCAGCTGAAGGAGCCATGCCTGAAGGCTGCTGGAGGGGTTTTGTCTCCATTGGGAGCCCCCGAGATCATCTCCCAATTAAGAGAAAATTAGAGATGGCTCTAACTCCTGCTGCAGGGCACACATAGGCCTGGCTGGCTTCTCCACCAAAGACTGCAGCAAGCAAGACTCACTGCTGGACTGGGGAAGATGCAAAACCTTGCTCT